TCTTTGTTGTTGTCCTTACCGTCGTTACATGTCGCAGCCGGCAATCGAGGCATCAGCAGAACTTCGGTGAGCAGTAGCGACAATGGCGGATTTCATGCAGAAGGCTGGAGTTGCCCATTGCCCTGATTTTCTACTCTTGTCTATATTCATCCATTTACCCCCTCTCCATCACACGCTCCACACCCACGATGACCCAGGGTGTCGCCCTCAACGGAAAGCTCACTTGTGCGCCTGCCAGGACAACAAGCCAATGATCATGCTATAGGATGGCAGTCTATTTTAATAACTACTCAACTGCTCTTGTTCAGTTGAGTCCTCAGATTTTGCCTCCAGGTAGAGCATATGTCGGTGCACGTATCACAGTACTGGGTGGCTATGTCCACCTACTTTCTCGTAGGCAGAATTGCCCTGACACTAATCGAGTTCGTTGCTGGCTCTTTTTCATACTTCCAGGCTTACAAAGGAAAGTATTAGCTATCACTAATGAGCCTCGATACGACAATTGTATTAAGCTTATACAGGTGCTGCTGTGATTCGGTCATTCACACTCAAGTTATTGATTATTGTATCAGATATAGTAACATGCGGCATTACCTGCGTCTACTGGACGTAACATTTAAGAGTCAAGCCTGCAGTAAAGACTGTCTTTTCGTTTTATTTAGTCTTTCTTAGTAGTATACTGTTAAAACCTGTGTCAGTGCCAGTCCTTTGGCCAAAGATTTATTATTCTAAAGCTGAAGCTAGTGATCTTTTAGATAGCACTCAGGCTATAGAGGTAGTTGAGTTTTACAACATTCTAATATAAAGTTCCACCACCGAACTTTCTAACGTGTTTAAAGGCTGGCCGACAGTGTCCTACATGACTAGCGAATTCAGCTTTTTGGTGAGCTGCTTCTATGATAGGACACCGAACGTCTCGTTTTATGCACGAATCGAAACAAATGCTGAATTGAACGCCCTGTTCCACACGAATCGCACTACAGATAAAGCAGTTTCATATTCAAAAGCCAGGCGATGGTAAACAGTTCGAAGGGGAAAAGTTTATTTTCAAGTTCTCTAAACCCAAGCACAGAAGTGTAAATACGACGGTGGAAAGTCCCACGCACGAAATCTCATTACGCGTATTATAAAACCTAGTCAAGCTATATACGAAGCCCTAAAATCCACACAAGATGTCAATTTTCATTTTCCACCTATTCGCTAGCTAATGGTAAAAGTTAGCTTATCAGGTATCATTGCTTTGAATTGAACAGGACTCCCACATAAACACCTCGTGTTGTGGTGCTTTGCATGATTCGTAAGCACTCTAAGTGCTTGCTCAAAGTACTATTTCAGAGAGTACGCCCTCATAGCCATAACCCGTATTATGAAATATCCCATATCAATGCACTCAAACACACTAATTTCAAATAGGCATAGCGATTCATTGTGGGCGTACGCGGTCCACTAGTGACTTCCATAATATCGTTTTCTGTATGAGTTTCCGCAGGCTATTAGTTAAACAATGTAATCTGTTAAATAAAAGAACAGGCAGTGTTTATCACATAAAGTAGAGAAGGTATTACGCTGTATTGCCCCACGAAATCGTCACTGTCGGTGGCGACGTCAACGACACACATAAAATATACTAGGAATGTTTATGATCCCGTTCGGTTAAGTGTCGGTTACCTTGTTGAATTATATTTACATAGAAAGGATGGCTTCAACAGTACAGCTCTGCCAAAGAAGAACTGCGGGAAATCACATTTTGTGCGGAAAATAATTCAATATCCTATTGTACACGTTTATACATTATGTACAAGTAATTTTTATTGTGAAATGTGCGTAAATTAACGTCAACGGAGCCGAGACGTACATTGCTTCGATATAGAATGTTTCGACTTAGCAATCATATATTTATTATAACAACATGATAATTATGCTATCTTAGCTTTGTGCACCTTTTGTTCATATCATGCTTGAAATTGGGTCGTTTAAATAAGAAAGCTGGCACCAATGCCACCCCTTACGCCCCTTGAATAATAAATAATTTAAAAGTAAAAATAGAACATCGATATTGGGAACGCACGGACACGCTAAAAGGCATGCGGTGGTGGCTTGGTGCTACGCAGGTACCGTTTCAAGAGTATATCGAGAGCTGAGTATCCTTATCGCAACGCGTTTAAAAATTAAAATAACAATGGGCCTCTTCCAAAGAAAATATTATCAATGTCCTATTAATTCTGCTAATGATAATTTATAGAAGTACTAAGAAAAATCGTTATATGTTCAGAATTTTCAATTAGTAAACTTAGAACGGCACGCAATTGAGACTCAGTGCGGCGATTGCGCAAGGTTCTCCTGGACCATTTCTCCTGGGCACAGCAAAAACAGCATCCCTATATTCTTTTCAACTCGGAAATTGTTCTGAACAGATTCAGGCTTTCCTAATCCATTTGTTGTTCGTATTCTATGGCTCTACGATAGATGACTATAATGTGTCGCGAACGTCTTTAGCAAAAAAGGCAGAGCAAAAAATAGCCACAATGCACTAAACATTTACCGAGCCAATGAATTTGACCGGTCAAATGATAACGTCGATATCTTTCGAGGGAAAACGTTCAAACGGCAAAGAACTCTCTATCAAGATTTTAGGCTTAAGGCAAACGCGACGCCTTCCAGCTCGGTAATTATTGATTATAATCTGTTCTTTACAATGGGAAATTATGTGCCAATAAAAGGATATAACCTATTTACTTTATAATTCTATTTGTCTGTACAACGTAACATCATGGAAGGGTTAATCGGAAGGGTGTCTATCACATATCCGCTGTGCATTCTGAAGAGCAACCCACACGCAATGCGCACACCGGTCAAGGTATAAGGTCAACGATTCTACCACAAAGACGGAGATATTTTAACGCATTTGTCTACTGCATGTACTTTTTGCGAGCTAGCGCTTAACGTCCATCACCGTAACACATAATATAGCTAGCTATACGTACGTGCTCGGCTCGCCTCTTGAATAAAGACAGATCGTTTGGTACTCACTTTATAACTGACCAACTAACACGTTATTGATCTACTACGGTTTAGTCGCCCTGATCATATGGCAGGGCTAAAAATCGCTTACCTATAGACCTAACGTTGTTCCAATGAGCATTTAGTGCATCAGCTATATAGACTGAGATTTCTATATATACCTAGCCACATGACGTTGCATACCACTGTTCGTCGTCAATCCCTGCTTTTGAACGTAGGCTCACGGTTAGTATGGCCTATAGTACAGGAATGGAGCTGATGAACCTAGCAGCCAGTAGTTCTAGATAGCAGGGATGCTGGCCATTAACAGAAACGTGACAAACCGTAGCTCACTTAAGTGAACGCATCGTTGCCGTGTCAGCATTGTCAAACGCATGTCAGCAGCATTAGTCGGAGTGCACCAGCGCGCACCCGAAAAAGGTTTGTTGTCGCCTGGCCAAGGGGCGGTAGGTTTGCAATCCTGTTTGTGTACTGCTACAGGATCATGGAATATAGCTCAGCTAGTTGTGCACCTATAACTGCTACAACACCACGGCTTGGTCATCTAATTGTTCTTGTTGCTTTTATAAGTCGTTGTGCTTTTGTTAAACATACATTACTCGAGTATAGTATTCACCTTCCATATACTGGACACAGAGGTTCTAAGCCTCTGAAATTGTCCTCGATCGGCGCCTAGATCCAAGCCCTCGCCCGGTCTGCTGACTCCGCTCGTCGGTTTATTCGTTATATTTAGTGCAAATACAAAGAAATACAATTGGCCGACTGACTAGTCAGATACGGAAGCATGGACCTTCTAGCGAACACACGTGATTTCGACAGAGAGGACGGTGGCCACGGCGGTAATAGCGCCTGCGATGACATGTTAGCGCGACCCGTGTTGTTATCGTGCATATATCGCACAATCGAACATCTAATGAAGTCAGCTAGCGTCAGCGGGAAAAAGGCCGAAAGATGAGCCCGTGGTGGGCTGTTCGTCTATGGCACCACTCATATAAACGCCGGCGGGCGAAAGGGAGACCGCAGCGAGTGAGGATAGCTGCTATTGCGGTGTGATGGGACTGGACTCTGGCCTCCGACCGTTTTGGCTTGACGACGCGGCCTGGCCATGCGGCCTGGCCATGTCCAGACGGCCCAAGCACACCATGGGGAATTTTACACGTATGGATGTATCCATATATATAGATATGGAAAGCAATACTACCGGTATTACCAGCATGCGCAGACGCAGAGCGGGTTCCGTTGAGCGTACGGTTTACCAGTGCTAGCTGGACAGGCAGACTCGTAGCCTAACCTCCCGTCTGCCGCAGTGCAATGTAAACAAGGCCCGAAGGGAGCTTGGCAAACCTAGAGAGCGCCAGTTTAGCAGACGACATCGTCTCAGCGAAGTTTACCATCAGTTAATCGAGCCAGTAATCCAGCCAACTTTAGCTATAGATAACAATGGAGAACGGCGATAAAGCTTTGCATTCGCGTTGAAAAACACGCATTTTACACAGTCGATAACAATTATCACTACTGTTGTGGACAATACAATTTGTTCGTCACATTTGTTTTGCCAATAAGCAATAATAACATGAAAAAAAACACTGCTATGTATGAGAAAAGCGAAACGATATCAGCAATATTGCATTAAATGGTAAATATAGCTACCTGGACTGAGCTAGACACATCTGTATCGCACACACCAACACACAATGGATTAATTATACGCGCGAAACAACTGTTAATTACTGAACTGCATACAGAGTGAAAACCAAACTACCTAAATTTCAATGTCGATCAACTTAATTCTCTCTCCATTGTTTGAATAAATTTTCGGCGAACCTCTCAGAAACGCTCATAGTTTAGAACTAATTATGAAACGTGTTTAGGACAAAGTTAACGGAATTTCGTAAGTTGGAAAAAAAACAAACTTCTATCGTCGGGCAAGCGGACAGGTCTCATCCGCAAAATGATCTCAACTGTTCATTGCTACTTACTGATGTCCAATGAGGTCCTGATCCTTGGCATGGGCCCGCTCGAGTTGAGTTGATCCCACAAACAACATTGCGCAGAAGAGTAGATGTGGTAACGGCGACAATCGTAGTGGTTTCCGTGGTCGTGGTTGCAGTGACGGCGGACATTTTTGTGATGGACGACACCTTAATCTTCGACTATTATTCGGTCGTGGCGCTCGCATCGTCAATGAGTCTGAGGTATTGTTAGTACGATGATCACAGCACGTATTTGTTTTCGCAATTTCAGTAGGAGTGATGCTGCTTGCAGAACTTGTTAATGTATCTGCAGTATTTGTTTGATTTATTTTCTGTTTTGTGGCTAACGAAGATAGCGATGCTGCCGTGGAGTTGGGCACTGATCTTGATATCGATATGATCGACGGCATGAGTACAGACACCGAGGACAACTGAGGAAACTTTTGGGGGCTACAACGATTCGCATTACATCGCTGCTGGGATCGGCTGTACTGGTTATTTCTTCCTTTTAATAGGATCAGGCTCGGCCCCGCAGCTGCCTTTCTTTTCCGGCCCCCATAGCCAAGGTGGGGTCGGGCGCGCGGCCGGCGTCGCACGTTTGAACCGCTGATGTTGACGCCGATCTGTTCGCTCTCGAGTAGTGAACGATCGCTCCTCTCGTCGTCGTGTGCTTTAAGGGGGGGGCCTGAGCCTCGAGCCTCTAGTAGCGACATCCGCCGAATTTTCATCGTCGCCGGACGTCTCTATAGCGTCTCCTGCTGTTTCAACTGCACTCGTGCAGTTGTTGCTACCGACGAAAATGACAGCGTAGCGGAGTCTGCTCTGTGGGTAGGCTACAGGCGAGCTACGGTATCTAATCGTAAGCACGGTACTAACTAAGTACTGAGCACGGTACTAAGTCACGATAATAACTATGGTAATGCTAGTTCGTACAAGAAATGCGCAGTGAACAATGCCGCGTCTGCGAAATGGTACAACGAACGCTTAACACCGTTAGGTGACAACGGCGATGATTTCAAGTTCTGCTGCGTACGCACGCAGAACTGGCACTACGGACGCACAAGTAACTCCTAGAAAACTACGATGACGTACGTGTTACGAAGATCCACTCCGTCCGAAGCACTCTACTGCTTTCTGAGAATTTCTGAATAACAAATCTGGCAAACGTTAAGCCGAAAGCACCACATCATAGGCTACCATCTCTGAACTTGACTTATGTACAGGTAAACGAATCACGTACTGTAGCCGGGCTGATGATGGTACGATCTCATAGACAAAGACATTCAATGCTTAGTTGACGTTGTTCAGTGTTGGCGCATTGATTTCATGACGTACAGAAAGTTAAACGTGGGAAGGAGGGGCGGGAACAGATACTTGTTCTACATGGAAACAACGCAATCGGTAGCAACCGCAAGTAGAATTCGAATTTTCGTTATCTAACTTCAGTCCTTTCTGGACTTTGGTTGTGGTTCTTCGGTTCTGTTCCAAGTTACCAACTTCTTTCTTCTTTAGTTTTCTTGGCCTCTCTAATAGTTGTATGCTGTGTTTAGTTTATAACTGGCATACAAATGAAATGAAATGAAGATATTCTGCTGAACGGCTTAATCTCATACTTAATCTTGACTCCGATCTCTGATCTACTTTCTTAATTAGTCATCTACTGGCTATCATCGTCTGGCGACCAGGAGCAGTCGCGTTGCGTGTGGTTTAGCACCGTTGTCGATCAGGCTGACTTCATAGCGAAATAGAGTTGATGCAACAAACCCAGACCATTTTCCTGGCGCTGAATAAGCTGCGACTTAGCCAATAACCCGAGAGGAGGACAGCACTGGATTTAGATCCTGTTATCGCTGAACGGTTGATCTCGCCGTCGGAGGATGACAGAAACAATTATTTCGCAATTTAGTTTTCCTCCTTGCTTTGTTTACCCCTGTAGCAGGATTTTTTGTGCGACTGCTTCGCCGTTGCAACTCCAAGCTGTAACCCCCCTCCCCGCTTCTTCGGTACTCGCTGTGCGAGATACATGAGCAATTGGAAGTAAAAGGAAGTAAAAAAACAAACAAAAACTGTCTTTGTCTATTTTTGCTTTTTCGAGCAGTCTCGGCTTTCCTTCAATATACTAATCTCTTCCTTTTTCCACAGAAACGTTTGTTTGCTACTTTTCCCTAAACCAGCTTCGCGTTCTTACATCAACACCGAAAGCTGGGCCACCCTGATATCGACATACCAGAGCTAACTTTCGGCTACCGATTTGATTTTGAACCAAGAAAAGGTGAAATTTACTGATCAGAGCTGATACCTTCTGGTTGACTGGTCCTTTATTACTTAACAACAATCGGCGGCGTTCCTCCACGTCTAAAGTATTCGACCTTTTTATGTTGTCGATAGCCTTTAACTTATGGCGGGAACCTGGAGTGGACGGGTGAACGGCAATAATGAAGAAGATTAGGTTGAACTACTCTACGGAACGAGCAGGACGACTGAAAAACGCTAATTGTCACAGAAGTGATCTGAGTTACGTTAGTCGCTTGAGAAAATGGTCTCTGCACAAAACTTAAATAGTTGAAAACTGATGATCAAGTTCCACTATAAGCTGTGAAGCGCACGGCGCGCGACTGCTCACATGATCATTGCACTAACGTTAATAGTGACAGTATTGCATCGATGGCTATTTTACATTGTTGGTAGCCGGTGGCTTGCTCGAATTATCATAACGGGAAAACGCTAGACGACGGCGATCGACGGCGGGATGACTGAATCATCAACAATAGAAATGACGACAGAAATCGTCCGCTGCTTTACTGCTTGCGACACGTTTATTGCCACTGCTGTCGTGTTTTTCTTTATTAATGAACACTTTCATACGTTCGTATAACAAAGTGACTTTCAAGTCTAGCGACCCTTTAACCGTCAGACGATGCACTATATGCGCTTGCTTCTCGCATGAACGAAGCTACAAGGATGACTATTGCCACTGGTAACGCTATTTGTTGAAAAGATGATCACTCCACGCGGGACACTTGAGCGTTTCTGTTGCTGAAATTGGTCTCGTAGTAGGGAAACAATGAACCGCACCTGTACAGCGTGTGGACTGCGTCGATAGCTCCTGCTTATACCCCGTTATCTCCGGATAACAATTTTTCACTGCGCGGTTTCCTCTCCAGGACGTATCAGCTGCAGCAACCGGTTACAGGTGTAGTAGTCTCGTTGCAATATGGTTCTCGATCGTTGTTGAGCTGGTTCTCGTGGAGAGGTACTCTTTCGTTCGATACTAGGCACAGTTTCTACGAGGAGTCGTTGCCTCTAGTACATCGGTCGCGGTTAAACCCGCTCGTAGTTGTCGATATTTTTGTTGTTTATTGTAGCCTGGGCCGAGTTGTCGAGGGCCCCTACCGCACCGGCTGCCGCTGGTCCGCTGACTGGCTAAATAGATTAGTTTTCCAAGAGGGAGTTCCCAAAATAAATAAATAAACGGTACTGTTCGGTAAGATCGTGTGTTCCACCAAGTGGGCAACGACTTTTACTTTTTTGCCTACCCGTCGCCAAGTTCACTTCGTTTTTGAATTGTTCGTCTATTGCTACTCTCTCCTGTTGTCAAGCGGCTCAAAAAACCTCTCTGGTTACGATTTCTCAGCTTTTCTCTTAGCCTGTAAGTCGCATAGACAATCACGTTAGTCGCATGGCTGGTTTGCGGTACACACATCAGCAGTGTGTAATAGTAGAGTAATATTGCAATAGGACAGAACCGGCAAACGTCACTGCTGTGCTTTCTAAGGACTCCTATTAGCATAAGTAGGCCAGTCGTCACACTGTCGTTCTATGATCAACGGCCCCGCCGCCAGCAGCAGCACGCTGGCGCCCGTAGGAGCCTTGCCGCAGGTTTTTTCGCACTAGCACCTTTTACAGGCCACCACGGCTCGCCAGCTCTGTTTCAGGCGTTAACTACCGCACTCGAAGCCACCATCGGGCGTTCTGTTCGGATCGGTCCGACTTGCCTCTGTACCAGCACCGACCGACCGACCGACCGACCGACCGACCGACCGTTCGTGCGTCTCGGCCGTGTGGTGTCTCGAGATTCTCGCAGCAGCAGCCGCTACTGTCGTCGTTCTCTTAGAGTGCGCGCGCTTTTGTTCGCGGCCAACAGCAGCAGACAGCTCAAAGTTATCAACAACCAACGGCTCAACGCAGCCAGCCGGGCAAACAGGCCATAGCAGCAGGATAGGAACAGCGGCAGCGGCGGCGGCAGCAGCAGCACTCTGGCCTGCAAAAGGCGGGAACGAGGACAGAGGGCGCCCTGACCTACGCGGCAGCGGCCGTGTCAGCCGCGACAGAAGCGTTGCCACAGCTTTTAACACATAGCCGACAGGCGAGTCGGACGCTGCTGGCGTTGCTCGTCGCCGCGCTGCTGCTGCTGCTGATGAAGATGGTGGTGTTGTTGTATAGGCACACCGCCAAAACAGACAGACTTAGTTATGATGGCAGGGGTACAATGTCTTCACAGAACCGCACCAGCAGTACGACTGTACAACGGCAAGCTCATCGGGAACGTAGTACACACACATTCAGTCAGCCTGCACGCAGGCAAACTCACATATGCATGCACACGCGCGCACCCACATCGAAAGAATGATGAGGGCACAACATGCCCCCCACCATTGTTACCTAGTGCAGCCCAAGTGAGCCTATCCTGCAGGCAACTTATCTTCCACCGGCGACAACCAAGCACAATTCCACGAAGCCCCGACAGCCAACGAGACATTCTCCTTCCATTTGCCTCAACCGCCGCCGCCAGCGTTGCCGCTTGTGCGTCTATCCTCTATCGGTTGCGCGCGCAGACCCGCCAAGCCCTCTGGCAAGCAAACGTGCGATAGCCTTCCTGTACTCGGTAGTCCCTGCTTGCCTCTTCCTCCTGTCTTATGCCCCCGCCCTCGACTAGCCTCAGTTCGACAGCGAACTTTAGCCCTCTATCTGCCTAGCTAGCTCCATCCAATCCAGTTCGCCATGGTTCCGTGGCTGTCACCCAGACTGCTCCACGACACTAGCCATATGCCCAGTCCTCTCCTCCTCGCCCTCTCGTTCTCTCCCACCGTCTGTCCTATCTCTGCCCCATTGTGCCCCCGAGTTGTGCTGAATTCCGCTTTGGCTTCCTCCACAGCTTCTCTATTTCCATCCCATCAAAAGTGTTCTGTATGGCCAGGAAGCTTCTTTCCCTCACCTAGTGGCCTAAACACCGCTACTGCTGCTGCAGACAGGCAGTAGCTGCCTCTGGTGATGCCTTCTCCGTCTGTTCTATGCACGAAGCCAGCACTTCTCAATTCTTGGCTTCCTGGTTCACTTTAACTGTGCCTGGTAGCATAACTCTAAAGAACAGGGGACAATTTGCTCTGTCTGCGACTGGTTTGCAGCAGGTCGTTATACAGAAACGACGGCCCACGTAACTGCTCCTAGCGGCAGTGCCATTGAAAACGGGTGGCTGTTGTCAGAGGAGACAACAACACAGCTCCGTGTTCGCACTTCTTGTAGCTGACGTACTGATCGTCTATTTGGAAACTGAGGCCTTCAGTTCTGCTCCGTCCATCGGGATGGATGTGCTCCTCGTACTGCCACTGGACAGGACGGTTAAGGTCGTACTAAGCAGCCGGGTTTAGCTAGTTCGAATCTGCGCGTATTTCGTGACCAGACTCAGCTATAAGCCCATGCAACAAGAGAACAAGCACCTGAGGTACTGAGCCCTTTGAAAGCGAAAACTAGAGGCGGCCGTTATAGGAAAAGCTGAAACTCTCTTACGCTAAAATTCCGGCATTGAATGCCCTGGGGAGGAATTGAACGAATCGTAGACGTAAGGTAAAAGGCCAACGGTCGATCTCGGTGGCTAAAAGATTGAATTAGCGCGCGACGATGCTGATGGTGGTGTGCTCTCGTCTTACCTGCAGCTGGTAAAAGTCGGGGGGCCGGAAGGCGCCAAAGCACATGAACGCCAGAATTCTGAGCACGAGAATAACTTATGCAGCGACCACGGCGACGACCTCGGCCGAAATGCAGTCACCGCCGAGAGAATTTGACTGGCCCGTTTGTCTGTCACGACTCTGATAATCAGTCCGGCCAGATGCGAGGCCGGGGATGGAAGTTGGAGGCGGCAAAAAAATAGAAGAACGAAATAGATGTAACGGCCTTCGGAAATGGATATATATGTGCATGTACATGAGAATGTGATTACGCTAAAACCCAATTGCTGCTGGTAGATTTAACCATCAATTTGGATTGAAGGCTGAGGTGAAAAAGCCGTCTTATCTGTAGTCACTATCGTCATCCGTACCAATTAGGACGCACACGGACAAGTTCGTTATCGCTACCACACATCGCAACTGAAACATCCATGTCCTATGCCCTAGTTGCAACTATTAGAACACTTAAAATCGTATTATAACATCACATACATGACGCGCGATTCTGGTAAACTCCGATCATAGTTAATTTTGCTTTAGTATATAGAATTCTAGAGCGCCTCACGTGTCCCTAAATTTAGCAAGCAAACATGTTGCTAGCATCATCAGTCATGAGACACGATGGTTTAGGCAAACCCTCTTCAACTGTTTCCGATTTACTTATTCACTAGTAACTACCTATTATAATTACACTATTTGAAGAATACCTCCCTTCGACCAAAGCATTCTGATTCTCATAAGAAATCATTCGTGACCGATAAACCAAATAGTGATAGCATTCGTAAATATTTAATTTCCGTCATTTATTAGCTAACGAGCTGACAAAAGCCGTCAAGGCATACAGAATACATTATGTTATCACAATTTCCGTTATCGTAGCTATTGTGGCGGCGCTCAGCGACCGTCAGTCGCTCGCAATACTCTGATTTCTTCCGAAGCCACTGGGATCCCGTTGACTGCTGCCTTACCTCACCAGTTTCACCTAACTCAGTCGAGCCCTGTTGTGTGTGCTCCTTCTACGGTAATTCGGCTCCAGTTTTCCCACCCAGTACTCTCCTATGTTCTTACGGCTAGCTCCTTTTGAACAGTGCACGCAATACCCAGACGCAGAGGCGGCTCCACGACATAACAGACAACGGAGTGGGGTATGCCATTTCAGACAACTATCCGCAGACAACTACAGATACTAACGGTGGTATACGATTCTATGGTACATCTACCTATTGATATGGTGCTTGGTCCACAGGTAAAATGGTGGACCTGCATCTAGCCTCACTGGAATAGGATTCTGCAGCAAACCCTCTAAAGGCGCACAGCTGGTTGATGAGGTCTGGAAGTTTCCGCGTAGGCTGCCTGTGCACAGCAAGAGCATAGCAAAGCATCCAAGTTGAGACGAAAGCAGAGATCCACGAGCAGAATAAAGCATACAGAAGAAATGACGACATCGAAAATCGTTGAAAGCGGGCTGTTTGTTTGCCTGCCTGTCGATGAAACGGATCCCATTTTTAGCATTACATCCTTCGCGCCGCTCGCTAACTTTTCGATATAATCGCTAGATCAACAATATTCTACCGACAAAAGGCAATCGTCGCTTGCCACTCGGAGTCGAAATAGAAATTCGACAGCGGAGAAAACTTGCCAGTCACGAAAAATCACTACTACTGCTATTACTGGTTTTATTAATACGGCGTTTATATATATATATACACGAACATCACGACCATTGTCATAGGTAATCAAACAGTTTCCCTTTTTCAGCATATATGATGCAGCCGTGCAGGATATGTTGAATGTCAGCTTTATCCGCTTCCACTTGAATGTGTCTATTCGTGACGTGTTGTACCGACACGCACGTTTCAAAAGATCTCAAACGCGGCCTATTACAGAAATAGTATGCTACTATATTTGAAGTCTTAACCTTTTAAAAATTGCTTAACTGGAATCTTCCTCCATCACTTTCAATCCAGTTGGTTGTAAAATCCAGCGAAATACAAAAATAAAGTGATTTCTCTATTCGAAAGCGACACGCAAGATGATTGCACGAAGGCTTGTCCATCACCCCTTTGTTTTGATGACCACCGTAGGGAATACGGCAAACGATTTGTCCGAGGGCTAGAGCTCTACAGAATGATGACCCTATAGTCAAGCAGATAATTTGAAGCGGAACTTCCATGAGAAAGTTACTTGCCACCCCTACCGTAATTGAGGCGCAGCGAATATTTTTCCATTTCGGTCCTATCGGCTTTCACTTCGTTTCATACGTCCTGAGTCGACAACAGCGGATCACTCTTTCATTCTTTGGTCCTTATGAGTAAATCTTGTTTCGTACTTTATATGCGTCCAAGCATTCATCGCGATTCATCCTTGCAACCCTGAGCGTCTATGTAAACCTATTATAGCTCAATAGGCACACACAGACATAATACAAGAAATGATACTAGTAGCCCGGCGCAGCGAGATGCGACCGACGTAGACACGAAATCAGTGAAAATTCAAAATGTCAGACTTATGCGGCGTGCACATGATAGGACCTTTGTGTTTCGCAGTGCCCGTTGGTACAGGGCCGATCTCATGGGTCCTTACTCGTTAGTGGAAAATGAGAAGGGCCAAAGGCCAAGAAGAGATTGTTAGCTCGCAAAGGGCGGCAACTTTACGGTAGTGGTGAGTTACAACGATCTCAACGGCAGCAATAACATCTGCATTTTAGTCGCCGACTAACCATACAATTAGAGATCCCCCTTCCACATTTTACCTCCTCGTTATTTTCCAACCCCTTGCTACCATTGTTATTCACTATATGATGTTTGCCGATTTTACCTCCAATGCCGGTCCGTGCCCCGCCTCCAGGCTGACTGGCTAGCAGGTGCCTTAAACATACCTCAAACAATGACCAGGCCAACCCCACTAGGCTATTGCATGGCGGCGGCAACTGCCCTACAATAAAGTCAATTCATTGCACTACCCGAACAACCTGGAGGCCAATGACTGCATGTTCCACATTCGCTGTTACCCCTATCGCCAGCACCGGCCGCTCCAGGAGTGATACTGGCCCATTGGGTGGCTTCGCGGCGTACACCGATGCCCCCTCACAGCAGCGCGTTCAGCCGTTGCTAGTGCGTCCGCCGAACTTTGGGTAATCCACACAGAACAAACCACGCCGTCTTCCTGAGCGTAGCTACAGCAGGGCGCAAATTAATTGGCAGAGAGAAACTGTTCCACCAGGTGCAAGTTGCTTGTATCGCTTGTTGTTGCTCGGCCCAATTCTGGCTGACATCTTGCCTATGCAAACTAACATTACAAAAAGACGTGGAGTCGGGAGTAAAATTTAACGGATAAAAGGCTAACGTCTATAGTGTAAAACAAAGGCCCAGATAGCTAAATGGCGTTCTGCCTGAAGCATTTAGGCAAGTAGTCAAAAAAAACGCGATAAAAGCAGGCGAGAGAGCGTGCTTGGAAACCAAGCCTACTACTCAAAGTCTGAGTCCTGTCACCGAGCCGGGCAATCGCAATTACCGTCGAAGAGCTGCAGTACCACATGCATATTGCCACTGTTGGTGAATACACATATATATCGAAAGCTCTATTAGCGAGAAATGCATATTCAACTTCTATGAATATAAGAACTTCGTAGAATTTCTCAAACTACGCATCTACTTAAACCCTATCAACATTACATTATCAGCGTTCGTAAATGACACTAAATAAAAGAGCGACATGGTCATGGCGTTAAGTCAAAACGTACGTAAAATGGATGCGCACCAGATGGCAGT